TAAAGGTAAGTCTGACATAATGTGCATACGAGCACATTATGGCTTAAACCTGCAGGAGGGACCCTTTTATTTCTCTTGTTAACTTTACTACCATGCCTCCAGCAACCCCTTCCCCCATTACTCGTGCTTATATTTACCTGTACCCACTCATCCAAGATCTTCTCTATGTAGCCCATTGAACGACACAACCTCATCTTAGAAAGCCCCCCAATTAGGCTTCTCTTCTTTTTGTGTGCATTTGTATTCAGAAAGGCTGGCCACCTTTAGGATGAACAATACACAGCCTTTCCATAAGAAATGGATATTCTTCCACATATGCATCGAAGAAGCAGAGAACCCAGCTAGGAGACTTTTAGTGAACAAATTGAGCCGTGAGATGTGCTGAATCATCAATACATTGCCCCTTAGCACAGCCTACAATGGACAGCTTTCCATTCTTGTCTGAAAGAAACCTCAGTGAGGATATCCAAGGAGTGTGGCAGGCAACTGTAAGACCTAGGAAAGTTTTCATCCCATGGAAAGACTGTCCACTCTTGGGATGAATAGGAATAAATGGAGATTCTCCCCCCTAAAAAGCAGAGCCCAGTGGGAAGATATTTAGAGAAGACACTGATCAGCACCCAGTAAAGATCTCCTAAGAGTAGGGACAGCAAGTGTAGGACTTGGGGGGAGAGGGGCATTTAGAGCATAACTTTACTGATCCTTTATTGAGTGGATATGATCCTGTGTACGTTATTGAAAAGTATTGAATTGGCACAAATAGAGACTTTTGCCCCAGGGCAATGTGCAGTCATTCATCCAATAAACGTGCTCTTTTCATTCTTGGAAACACTTCATAGTATTAAGAGTGAGGGTTCCCCATACATTCATTTGCCAATAGTAAGTGCCAGTAGCAGATGACCTCACAAGGCTTTAGAGAAAACAAGTGCCACTATAATTATCCTGCAATTGAACATGAGTTGCTGCCTCTTCAGCTGTAATGAGACTGTGTACTTCATGTAAACACATAAAAGAGGTGTCTGCAGTGACATGAAGAGTTACTGCCTTCACCACAAGTATCCTCCCTTTCTCTGCATTCAGACCATTGTGATTATCACTGCTGTTATCTCTCCAAAGCAAAGTATTATTTAGGATAATTGCTTTAAATGTACTGGTATCAGCTTGCATGGACCATTAAGAGCTTGTTTAGTTTACATGTGCTTCAAAATGTGGCATTGGACAAGCTTTTTTAAAGCACTCTGAATGCCAATCAGAGTCCCTGTCACTAAATCAAATGGTTACCTTACTATCCTGTTCACACGTTGTGTTTGCTTTGTTTTGCTTCAAAAGTTATACCCCATGTTGCTTTTATGGGGCTTCAAAGCATCTTCAAAGCCTCCATATATGTCTATAACAAAGCTCACTTACAGCACCTGCAGCTTTTGAGAGGTTTTCATTCAGCTTTGGCTGCACTTTGTTTGAAGGTATTGCAGGTATGAGATATCTCAGAATGCACTGGGAAACCAACAAGCGAACCGAAAATACATCATCAGCAGTCACTTCCTGTTCATGTGTATATATTCTGGAAGTGTCTGGTTCAGACATCACATCTGGTGTGCAGCATGAAGCTGCAGGAAGGTGAGTGGGGTCCAGAATGGAGTGGAGCAACTAGCAGTTGTCACATGTGGAGTGGGAATGCTGTAGCAGAAGGTGAGCGGGGACCAGAGAGAAAGAACTGAGTGGCAGAGGATCAGCAGAGCTGGGGTACAGAGCAGAAGAAACTAGCAGATGTAACATGTGGTGCACACCGTGGGAGCAATATAGTGGGAGGTGAGCGGGGACTAGAGGGAGAGGAGGATCAGCAGAGCCGTGGGTACTACTGAGCAGGGGATCTGCTGAACGAGGGTACTAATAAGCTGGGGATCTGCTGAAAGAGTGTACCAATGAAATGGGGATCTGCCAAACAGGGGTACTAATGAGCTGGGGATCTGCTGAGTGGGGGTACTACTGAGCTGGGGTTCCACTGGGCCCCTTTAAAACAAATCAAAAATCAACACACTCACAGGGCATTTTTGCCAAGTTTCATTAAAGTTTCAAAAAAAAGCATCACTGAAGCATCAAAAGCACATCGGTATGTGTTAAAGTCAAAGCAAGTGTAAATGAGCCCTTAGTCACTTTTTATTTTTTTCTCATAAAGCCTTAAGAACAATTTCCAGGTAGTCACTGTTTTGGTATTCAAGCAGTCGTGGCTGTTGCAGATGTCTAAATACAACAGCCAGTAACAGGGACTCCTAAACAGCAAGGATGAAGAAATCTGATAGATATCTCCCATTCAGCTGAATGAGAGAGGTATATGCCTGTATGGGCTAGTCTTAAAGTGATACTAAAGGCTATGATTTTTTTAAAACAAAAAAATAAGTAATACTTACATGCTCTGTGCTACAATACTGCACAGAAAGGTCGCTTTCCTTCTCTTTCCAGCACTGTCAGCTTCTCCCCCCTCCAGGTGCCTCCTGTAGCAAATCCGGTGGTAAGGAGGCACCTGTCCATGCTTGATCCTGAATGGGGCTGTGTGCGACCACAGACACACACACAGCGTGAGTAATTGTGGCTATGGCTCTGCTGCCCTCAGTTTCTCCTGTGAAAGCAGGAAGTGAGGGGAGTGATGTTGAAACTGGAGTGGTAACATGGAGCAAAATAGGTGTTTAAGGAAAGGGGGGAGGGGGGGCAGGTAGTGGGTAATATTTACCTTAATGAGCAGAATGCAACTTTAAGCTGTCTATGCACCATAAGAATTTCATTTGAATGACGGAAATGTAAAACCTCAGCAGAGCATTCCATAGTACCATTATGAACTCAACGAATTTCTATGAAAACTCCAAAAATGTTTGTTCAATTGCCACGCCAATGTTTCAAACTATATTTTCAATTTGAGGATGCACATACACATTACATTTCATTCAGGAAAAATAGTACGATTTTTCTTGAATAAAAACCATATTCACAGTAAGTATTTAATTAATTTGTAAAACATTTTTCATCCTTCTCCTTCAATTTTCCTCGTCTCTATGGCCAAAAACAATTGTTGACTTGACCCCATTGACTATTAGAACATTGAAAGAGCATTCCCGAAAAAACGTTTTCGAACAAATTTCTACTGGTATATGGCCAATTTTACTCTTATTTGAAGGTTTCATTCAGATTTGATCTGTTGTGAATGTAAAACACAAATTTCTCCACATTGCCTATAGAGAGGTGAATGAGGGCTTGTTTAAAAAGTGTTTTCACTGTCTGTTCAGAATATGTAAATAACGGAGCTACGATGATCATGGAATCTGTCTTGACCAGCTTGTCTACTGCTCTTCGCTACTGGTTGAAAATTCTTTCGTTACATTGAAGAACCAAAAATGAGACACTGGAGGTAGGAAAGGATGGGCCAGTACATAACAACTTGGTTCTCATTTGCATATAAATTATCCCAGGCTTAGTGGCTCCATTCATGGCTCCAGTAAACCATGACTGGGGTCTCCAACCTCATGGCTCCAGAATCAATTGAAATAGTTACGTCCTATAATAAAACCAGAGGTTATTCATTAAGTTCAGATATGACAAAATGCAAAATGAAATTAATCATTCGTCTTAGTTTCTCATTTGTATTCCATTTATGATGCTCATTTTAACACTAAACCACACAAAACAGGAAAAGCTGTCAGCTGAGATGGGAAATTAACCATGGAATTAAGTGGGTTGCAATAGGCAAGAGGTCTATTTTGCTGTGTTCTGGTTTCATAATCATCCCCTTCAGCTTTGGTTGCTTTGAAGCTTTTGCTGAATCAGCTTATAAAAATGCCATGTTACCTTGGCCTCCCCTCCTCCTTGCTACTAGTCAGCGAAGCCTTCTATGACAGTGATGGGAAAATAGTGAGGCACTGGAGGCAGGACAGGCCAGTGCTTATGACTATAATAATTTGGACCTTGTTTTCATAAGATAGTACTCCAGGCTTTGGAACTCCCACAGCACCCACATTGGTATCATGACTGGTTCTCTTTACATATACATATGTCAGTTCCATGGGCTAGGACATAAAGTCTTGTACACATACGATAAGAATATCGGAGAAATGATTGTCTGTTTTTTTTGCATGCTAGTTTCATATCGAAAATGAAGAGGTTACTAAAGTTCCAAAAATTGTCATATGACAGAATTTAACTTCAGAAGTGATGTAATGTATTGTATTGTAATGTATTCTTTTATTTCTGAGCATGCGCGGTCTTGGTCACTCGACTTTTTACAGACGAATATTGTGTTGATTAAACAGAAATAGTTTGTTCTGGAATTGTACGAGAAAACTTTTTGTGCTTGTCCCTTCAGATACTTTAACATGAACCATCATGATCGGTTCTCTAAAGCTGTGTACTAACAATCACATTATCGGACAATCGTTACAAAAGGTTTTCCCCCGATTTTCTCATCGTGTGTACTAGGCTTTAGGCTGTTTGAATGCTTGTTTCATCACCTACCCACAGAAAACCAGACGACAGAGAAAAGATGGCATTAGTAGTCTGGGAACAGGATACATGTCATGCAAAAGGACATTTTTTACAATCCTATAGATAAAAGCTCTTTAGACTAGAAACTGTTCAGCATACGATTAACTAAAGAGGTTTTGCAGGAGATGATGACCCTTTAAACTGTTCAAATGTTCCTGAGAAAAAAAAAGATCCAAACTTTCTATCACAATTAACAGCCAAACAAGTCCTCTGTGGAAATATCAACACTACTAACAAGAACTTTGTTAGACAATTATTATCCCTGCATAGCTGAGTTATCAAACAATATGCACAAATTGGTTGCAAATATTGGGCCACTTGGATCAAGGAATAATGAAGGTGACACTATTTGTATTTTACACAGACAACACTAAATTCTTACTTACCTTTCAGAGACCCATACTGAGACCTGAAAGAGTTTTCTGTAGATGGTTTTAATTTTTGTTTTTTGTCATTCCCTTTATTTTCAGAACCAAAGAAGAACAGCTGGTGCCGGACTTACCGGGACTGGGGTTTTCGGGCATTTGATGAGTCTGTGATCTCTGAGATGTGAGAGTGATTTGTGGCTCCTTTGGCTTCCAGTTCAATCAAGCACTTCACCACTTTCTAGTCTACTTCTGGTCCTCAGCCCAGAGCTCCAAGAGGTGGCAACACAATATAAATAAACTGTTTCTCAGCACTTTGGTCCAAAGGATATCCTTTTGGCCAGCTGGTTTAAAACTTAAAAGCCTAAGGGACACATACAAAAGCACAAATGGTGGGCTGAGTGAAATCTGTCACCATTGCGTCTTTCTGTGTTACCAAATACGATCATCGATATGAAGTTACTGACTTTCCTGTCACAGCATAATAATATTAAATGTACACACACGTTGGAGAATTCAAACCATTCAAAAAACATCTACTGATTGCAAGGCAGAAATCTTGCACAAACAACCAGAGGGGAGCTGACTTTGACTCCGAGGAAGCCTGTACAGTCTCCATTCGTAATGTGAAAGATATTTTGGTCTTGTCCTGCTGCAATACAGTATGTGCCAATACTCTGGCTATTGTGGGTATTTAACGTGTCTTTGGAACTTCGGTTAAACAAAACGTGTGAACATGCTCAATAAAACGCTCTAAACCTCTAGTCTCTCCAAATGAGATTTAATGTAAAGGTAGCTAAGCTGTTGCTATGGTAAATATGCAGTACACTTCTGGTGCCAAGGATTTTATTGTCAAATGAAGATTGTTGTATACATAAGTGATTCAATATATGCAGTATAGAGTATAAAGCACCGCACATCATACATAGAGTATATTCACACATAGAGACAACTGTCCAGACATGACCTCAGGTTCACATACATGTTGATCACTATTATGTGCCAACGAAGAAATAGCCAAGATCTTAAGTCTTTACAGACAACTTCACACATATGAAACAACATTTGTTATTTCTGTCGTTGGTCGCATGACATTATCTCGTGAGCCTGATGTTATCTGTGCATATGGTAAAGAATGAGAGGAAAGGGGAAAAAAGTTCCCCATAGAATAGTATGAGTGAGTTCGCTATGCACTCAGATATGAATGGAGAGTAATGCAGTGGAAGAAAAAAAGAGGGAAGGAATTAGGAAAATAGTGTAGAGAATACTAGCAGAAGCTAATCAATGAGAAAAGAAAAACCCTCAGAAGGGATAAAGAAATAGACAGAAGGTCAGTAAGCACAGAAGAAAATAAAAGAGAGAGAAGAGAAAAAAGGGCAGAAAAGAAGAAAGGGTAGCCACGGAGGTCACTTACACGGGACACATTTACAAATGATGCTAGGAAAAGAGAGCATTCCCACGTGTTCAAAGTTGCATGAGGCGAGGGGTGTGTTGTGAGAGAGGGGAATAATTAAGACGTGGCTGCCAGACTGAAAGAAAATTGTCATGGGTGTCCTCCAGGATAGAAGTCAATTTTTTGTTAACAAATGTGTCTAGAATCCTAGACTTTACCTCCTCAAAATTAAGAAATGGAGATTTCCACACAGGTGATCATTTGTTTGGTAGCTAAAAAATATAATTAGAATGTAACCACACCAGGAGATGTCTCTCATAGGACAGCAGTTACTGTATACTTCCTAACAGGTTCTAATATCCACTCAGAACTTTTGGATTCTGATAAAGTAAAGCTAATCTGCAGCTTGGCCCAAAAGAACAAATGAATGTCAAACACTAACCTGTGAGGCTGCTGGATATGAAGTAAAGTTTATTAAAAGGTGACAATCAGCTTTAATCTAAAGCAAATTTTTATTTTTTTATTTTAATTTATGTCAAGGAAGAATAAAAAAAAACAAAAACAAATGCAATGCATGCACCTTTCCCTATGTTTAGATAGGAAGGATGATATTGACAGCAATGACTGAGGTATCATTTTCTGCCAGCGAATCCGAAGCCAGTAAAAGTAATCTGAGCTGGAATAGTTTTACAGGTGGTGGAAGAGGGTGTTCCCGAGCCTGGTAAGGATGTGACTGGCGGCATCTAGCTCCGGGCACACAGTGAGAGGAACTTATGTGTTTATTGGCTAATTATCAGTTGCATTCGAGGCCAGATGTGGGGGGAGAGATCTCCATAAAGAAGACCTGTCATGTCCCATGCTGTCACAAGGGATGTTGTTCATCTAAAGTTGATTAAAAAAAATAAAAATTAAAGAGATAGTGTAAAATGGTTTTAATAAATAACAGAACACAAGAAAAAAAACAGAAATCGTGCCGTCCATGTGAGATATCGCCGCAAACATGACAGTGAGAGTAATAATTGTAGCTCCAGACCTCCTGTGTAACTCTAAACTGGTGACCTGTAAAGGCTTTTTAATGTGTAGCCTAAGGAAATTTTTAGGTACCGTAGTTTGGCGCTGTTCCATGGGCAGGTGCAATTTTAAAGCGTGACATGTTTGGTATCTATTTACTCTTCATAGCATAATCTTTTGGAATTTACAAAAACATTGAGTATTATACTGTTTTTCTGCATTAAAATTCATTAAAGTGTATTTGTTCCCAAAAAATTGTGCTTAAAAAACAGCTGCACAAATACCATGTGACATAAAATAGGCACACCCACCATTTTATTCTCAAGGACCTCTGCTTAAAAAATACATAATGTTTAGGGGCTCTAAGTAGTTTTCTAGCAAAAACTATGTTTTATACATACAGTATAGGAGAGAAATGTAAGAATTGGCCCGGACTGGAAATGGTTAAAAGTGCTGCAGGTGCACAAAAAATAACAGGTGACCCTGTCAGAAATTGCCTTTCCACGCACATGAACTTTAATGGCCTTCCAGTCTTAGTCCGTAGGGTTCAATATTGAGTTGGCCCCGCCCTTTGCAGGTATAACAGCTTCAATTCTTCTGGGAAGGCCGTCCACAAGGTTTAGGAGGGTGTCTATGGGAAGGTTTGACCATTCTTCCAGAAGCACATTTGTGAGGTCAGGCACTGATGTCAGACAGGAAGACCTGGCTCGCTGTCTCCGCTCTAATTCATCCCAATGGTGTTCTATCGAGTTGAGGTCAGGACTCTGTGCAGGCCAGTCATGTTCCTCCACGCCAAACTGGCTCCTCCATGTCTTTATGGACCTTGCTTTGTGCACTGGTGCGCAGTCATGTTGAAACAGGAAGGGGCCACCCCCAAACTCTTCCCACAAAGTTGGGCGCTGACGCCTTAAGAGTTCCCTTCACTGGAACTAGGGGGCCAGGCCCAACCCCTGAAAAAAGACCCCACACTATAATCCCCCCTCCATCAAACTTTACACTTGGCACAGTGCAGTCAGGCAAGTATCGTTCTCCTGACAAGCGCCAAACACAGACACGTCCATCAGATTTTTTTTAGACAGAGAAACGTGATTCATCACTCCAGAGAACACGTCTCCACTGTTCTAGAGTCCAGTGGCGGCATGCTTTACACCACAGCATCCGACGCTTTGCATTGCACTTGGTGATGCAGCTGCTTGGCCATGGAAACCCATTCCATGAAGCTCTCTATGCACTGTTGTTGTGCTAATCTGAAGGCCACACCAAGTTTGGAGGTCTTTAGCTATTGAGTCTGCAGACAAATGGGGACCTCTGCGCACTGTGCGCTTCAGCATGCGCTGACCCCGTTCTGTCATTTTATGTGGCCTACCAGTTGGTGGCTGAGTTGCTGTTGTTCCCAGTTGCTTCCGCTTTGTTATAATACCACTAACAGTTGGCCATGGAATATTTAGTAGCCAGGAAATGTCATGGATGGACTTATTGCACACTAAAAACGCTACTAAAAACGCTACTACCAGTGTTTTTTGAGCTTAAAAAAAAACACTAGTGTGCATGGAGCCTCACACTGACACTGTGGCACGTACAGCGTGAATGGGCTGTTTGTTTCTAAAGCTGAAGCGGTTTGCAGGCAGCCTATGTTACTCTATGGAGATGCATGGACTATATGGACAAAACCACTCATGTTATCTTTACAGGTGTACAGGGAAAGGTGAGCATTCTTACCCCTTTACAACCACCCAACGGCTTAACGCCCACATGTCGCACATACATGTAACTGGACAGTGGTTGTTTATCAGCTGGGGATGTGCTCACTGCATGCTCTCACCACAAAGACCGAGCTGTCACAGACAGCTCTTGGTCCAGGCTACAGATCAATAGCCAGTGAGACTGGCTTCCGATCATGTGACTACATGATTGCTGCTCCTTCCTTCCCCTGGGCATTCCAAATTGTTTAAAGTAATGCCTCAGCGGGTGAGAAGGGATAATGCACACTGTTGGCAGTCAGGGGCCGCTCACCTGACCCTGCACAGCTGTCAAATTAGGACGTACCTGCACACAGCTCCAGTCACATTAATAAATGGCCAAGTCACACTATACAGGCCACAGCACCCATGTGCATGAAGCCTTAGAGCGGGGGTCAGCAACCAGTAGATTGCAGCTAGAAGACTGTAGATCGCGGTCTGGGCTTGCTGACATGCCATCCCTGAGCATCAAACAGAGTGCAATGCAGAGGGACTACTTATAAAGTTGGATCTGTAGTAGAGAGCAAGAGCTGCATAAGCCAATGCCTCCTCTGTAGTGCCGGCTCCTGTTCCATGTGCAGTGATACCAACTGCACTCCACAACTTATCCCGGCTAGCGGTCTAAGGAATAGTGCCGGCAGCAGGAAAGGACAGATCTTCAGGTCAGCATGAAGCAATACACTGGGCATAATAGCATAGGGCTGCTTTCACACTAATGTGCTGAGGTTTACCCACACCGCGGGTGCTGTGCGGTATACCTGCAGCTCACCACCTGATTTAAACCCATGATTTTCATGCAATGCGCATGATTGTGACACGTTAGTGCAGCAATTAAAGGTTTAAATCAGGAGCCGGTGATCTTTGACTTCTTCCATGTTGTTCAGGTAGATCTCCACCTCTATAAGGTTGCCTACCCCTGCTTTAGAGTATTGCCTTGACACATTTTTCGCAGAGATGCACTTGTACCACTAGAGGTCAGCCCGATGCAGTTTTGCAGTCCAACTCCTGAATTGCAGATTTTTGCCTATTTTCTTTGCAGTATTTC